GATCCCTTTTGTTACGAGGTTCTCTCGATAAAGTTCGATGGAAGAGTGCAAATAAAGCGCTCGGCATGCGTGCGCTCGCGCCTCCATTCCGTACTTCGGTAGTTAATTAATTTGTCTTTAAATTCAGCAAATTTGGTCGTTCGGTTCGAAGAAAACTAATCGAATGTAGTTTTGTCGTTTACGCGTCGAACGTGCTGTCAGTTACCGATTACAACGAACAACTAACTCCAATATGCAGACCATATATCGCCGAATTGCCTATTTCCTTCGTATGCTTGAACAATTTCGTGTGATTCGATCAAAACTTGCGCGCAAATTCCAGACATCCTTTTATAGTTTCCGGATCTGCATTCCAGCTTCCATTTTCATCACATTTTTCCAACTCGAACGCCTTAATACGCTGCCGAGGAAATCTCTCCATCCGTCGCGTCGATTCGGTCGTTATCAAATTTAATCGTTGAATATTTTATAAATCTACTGTGTGAGAATTTTAATAATTCAAGAATACTGAATTTTTTTCAAAATTGCGTTAAAATCGATGGAGCTCCTTTCGATATATTAAAATATATGTGTAATAAGTACATAAGATAAAAATTTAATCGTCAATATTTTAGTCACAATTCTAACGACTATCGTCATGTCACGATATTTAAAATAACTTTGTAACTGAACGCATAATTTGTCAGTATCCTTGAAGGCGTTTAATGGCGGATAATCGGTCTCTGGCACCTTCGCGCGACACGTGACCCTTCGATGTCGAAGATGAAATCGATGGCCATACAGAATGATCCAATAACCTCGGGTACATTCGAACATCCATGTTACATGGGTAGTTCGACAAACGAATCCCTCGATTGATTACGCTTGATTAACCCGACCGAGATTGAGAAAAAGAGCCATTGATAGAAATAAGTACGGATCACAATTTCTGTTTATAAGGTACTTGGACACAGCGTCGATTAATCCAGTGTCGGCGAAACGTACAACAGCTAAACTAAGCTGGTCTGATGGAAGTTGTCTTTGGTTACCTTTGCTTTACGTTTACGAAATGTCGTGTAAATATCTTCTCTGAGTTTCTAATATTCCATTGTCCAATTTACCAAATACCTAAGTTTCTAATACCATTGACCAAGTACAGTCTACCTATTGTAATGTCCGCGTAGAATCGTTATTTTCCATTTTCTTAATTGGGATTTAACGCGACGTATAGCTGCGTCCCCCGCGAAGGATCGAGATTTCTTTTACTGTTCCTTCCGGGAAAATTCCTCTCTTATCAGGATTCATTCAACGATAGAAACGCGCGGAAGGGCAACAGGCGATTCCATCGGTTAAATCGGATAGTTACTCTACTACGGGAATTAGTCGGGGTCCAGACATTAAGAGCACTATTAGCAGAGCGACGGTCGAGAATACAATGCTGTCACGACGACAAAGTCGCACTTCGATGACGAACTTTAATTGCTTCGGAGTGGAATTTTCTCGAACGACACGGCGGTATTAAATGGATTTTATCGCCTTTTCATCGGATTAATGTCGAATTATCGCGTAGATCGGCCATCAGACGCGTATTTCCGCAAGTTGAAGTTAGTCGCGATCTGCTTGCTTACCTCTGGTCGGAGGGCTGGCTTCCTTTATTTAAGAAAATGTTCCGTACTGATCCTTTGCTCTAGAAACAAGAATGGTTTCCTACTTAGCCTCGCAGCTCCTCGAATTAATTTTGGTACGAACGATAGAACGATATTTACTTTATACGTGTGCAAAATTTCAAGTCAATCGGACCATTTTCTCCGGCGATGTTACGTCAACAAACTTGAAGAATGTTGTTTCGAGAGAAACTGCTTTAAAGTTATCGTACAGCGTTAGAGTACACGAGGAACCGAGTTTATAGTTTCATTACTTTATCAATTTTTCAAATTACACCGTAATACTTTAGAATTACGTTTTTACGACTTGAAACTTTAAGGAAACACACGTGTCTCGCGAGTCTGCTTTGCCACGTACGTAAATAGAAAACTTCGAGACACCGGGAACACGATTGCAGAATGACCGAAAGGTTCACGTTCACGGCCGTCAATGTTGTGTAAATTTTATTCACGAATAACAAATGCATATTTTCGAAAAATGATTCGAATTTACAAACGAAGTTACGAACGAAACGTACACGGAAGAAGTTAGTCCGCGAATGAATAAAACATTTTTATTTATCATTCGTGAATATTTGTCTAACTGTTAACGCCCGAGAACGCGATATTGATTCATTCGCGAATTTTATTAATCTATTCTAAAAATTCTACCGAATCGTTTGTACAGTCGGTAAAAATATATTCGGGTGTCGGTATAATTTTTGGATATCTTTGTACAAGAATATAATATGATTCCGTTGATAATAACTGTAATTTAAGTTTTATATTTACTTCGATTTTTGAGCATAAATACCAATATTATATTTTTACCCGAATATTTTCGTAATCGACTGTATACAAAGAGCGTAACAATTCAAATTTTTAATTTCCAATACTCTTCCACGGATTGAAATATATCAACATTGTAATAGCCTCGAATATTTAATCTGCTTCGATGTTTGCGTTTATTACGGTCCTTCTCTTGCTTCATCAGTTGCGCTCGTGAAAATAATACACGGTATTCGAAAATAATACATTTGAAACTTTTAAAAACATGTTCGAACCAAATCTTTAGTCATTGAGAAAGCAAAGTTATATTAAGATTTTCGAAATACTTTTATTAGAACAGCAACGTGCGAGTTCAAAGATTACAGGTCGAATTGTCCCAGAGTTTACGATTCGAGATAATGCAACATGGATCTGTATTCAAATATAATTAATACTATTGTCGACTACGGTACGTTGTAATAGGTAATAGTTCTCGATTAACTTCATTACCGAAAATTTAATTCCGACGCAGATGCTGTATTTTCATAATAAACACACCCGGCAAACGCGTGCAAAATGCAAATACTCTAATTATGGATTCATCATGCGTAACGTGATTCAGAAACTATGTAATATTGAAATTAGACGAGCTGTTGTTATCAAAATGTCGATAATAAATACCATTACGGCGATAAGTTGTATTTGATTAGGCAACGAACAGTTCGTAACCTTTCAAAATCATTGTTTCTAAAATGCAATTTTTTGATAATCGTCGCTGGAGTTGATACTTGACCATTCTGGGTATTATTTTTTGTTTACGAACGTAATGAGAAATATAACTACTTTTCAAAGAATCGAAGAGATATTGTTCGATGATTAAGATGAGAATTTCAAGTTCTTGGATGTGTTTATTTGACAGTGTGATACGCAGTAAAATGTTCGAAGGTTAAATAATGGTTATATAGGCCATGGAGGCCGAAAGCTGGTATGTCCGCGGAAAACAGAATAAACGGAAATATGGGACAGCAAACAAACTTAATTGAAGTTTGTCTTCGGGTTTCCAATAAAACTCAATGGATGATTACAATGGAATAGCTACAAAAAGAAAATAATTCGGTTACATACATGCACAGGATTTTTTAGAAAAACATTCGCTTTGTTTGCAGACCTCAAAAATTTTTACATACCAACGACTGCTATTGAAGGAATGCTACGATGTAAAGGAAAATCGAACCGAAATCGATGAAATCACTAGTGCTCGATAGACTTGGAGTTATTTAAATGGAAAAACAGTGAATACGAAACTTCTTTTTATTATAGGAATACTCAGATGGGAAGTTGATTACTTTGGTCTGAATAATAAATGGTTTTGATCAAATTTGCAATTACGTGTTAAAAAGGAATGTTTGTTTATTCCTAAGAAAACTCCATTCAGATTATTCTGAAGCGAGCGAAATAGATGGAAATCAGAGGAGACGTAAAACGAACGTGGAAGGAACTCCCGACCAAGTTCCTCTGTAACCATTTTTGTCGCTGCAACATGCGGTCGGGGCGTTATCGTATCGTGGATCACCCCAAGTTTACGATTAATAACGTTATTCGATCGAAGATATTGGCTATACATTTCTACATTAATTGTTCGATAGTTCTCGAGCAATTCGTAGTGAATTATACCTTCCCTATTCCACCAAATGCGTTACATCGTCTTCGGAGGGTGGAAATAGGTCTTTGCTCGATGCGCTGCTTGTTCGCCACGACTCTTATCGTTTCTTCGTAATCGTGTACAAACACCATTCTTCGTCTTCGGTAATGATCTATTTCAAATATGGACGATGTTGTTGCTGGCAAAAATTGCGAGAAGCAAGAGACTCAAAATGTCTATAGATAACACTGTGATCGTTAAAAAATATCATAGATACATTGTATAACTTCCTGTTAAAATTCCAAATTATTCGAGCTTACAGTTTCCTTGCTATAAATTCTCTAAACAATACCTTCTTTTCTCCCTTTGCTTGGCGTCAATTTTGCAAACGGACGGTGTTCGTATCGCGAACATTAAAAATATAGTCTACGATTTGATATTAAAATTTCATATCATTCGCGCTGGTGGTTTGTTTGTAAAAAAAAAAATTTTATAGAAACGTTCATTCCGTTAATTCTGCTCGAGGCAATCGACGATTCGTAGGTCGTCGGAGTGGAACAATAGGTCGAAGGAAGGAATCGGTTTGTAGGGCCAAGAGCTCCTTGACGGCAAGCAGTGTCGAGCGTAGTCGAGCCGAGCCGGCACGGTCGCTATAAAAGCCCCCTCGCACCGAACCGTCGACGTCACACGTCGTTAGTACTCTGAACGGTGAGGAACTCCGGCGTACCACCTGTTATCCCAGGACGAAGCTGGCTCGGTTATCTGCGACCGACGAGAATCATAATCGAAGAATTTCCCAAACGGATACGGTACAGGCAGCGACTGAGCTCGAGAGGACCGGAAGTTACTTAGTTAGAATCGCGGCTCGATAAGCCGAAAGGTTCGTTCGAGGATACCTCGCAATCGCGTCCCCGACGAATTCGCACGTAATCTTTCGAGTTATTTTTCGACCGCGATCGAAAAGGAAGATTTTCCATCCGTGACGAAGACCGGAGGGGTGAAACGAACCGATCGCCGACCACAACCTCGTAATTTCTAAGGTACGTGTCGTTTTTTTCCCCGCGTCGCGTCGTTTCCGTCGACATTTCGGTGCTACGAGACGAGAGAGATCGCGTCGGGGTCGCGGCAAACGATTATATTAATTCTCGCCAGTTCCGGTTATCGACGTTTCTGTCTTATCTTCTTTTTCGTTTTGACGAACCGTTATTGAGTAATTAATCGAAATATCGTGGACGATTTATCTGGAAAGTTCGCCGCGGCGCGCTTCGCGGTGCCAGTATAATTTCAACGTCTGTCACGGACTGTGGATTAGCCGAAAAACTCGTCGTGTTTCTTGTTAGTGCGGTCGATTGATATTCGCTGTTTTTAATATTTCATACTACGATGTACCTAGTTCATGGTGTACGCGAGAAAGGTAAGATAGGGTAAGAGAGAATTGTAAAGTGACGCTCGAAAGGCAAGAAAAATTGTAGTCCACGAATAATCGAACCTCATCCTTCGTGGGCTTTTGCCAGGAATAGCAATCAATTATACGAATAGAAACAAGTTTCATATCGACGTTCGCGAAACATCTGTTGCATGCATTTATCACGGTACAAACAAAATGCAACAAGATAGAAAATATATTTTATCCTTGGACTTGTTTCCAGAGAATTAATTGTTGGCGAACGACGGACAATGTTGAAAAATGGCTGTTTTTGGCAATCGTTGGAAGAAGAGTCATTTTTATACACGATCTTCGTAGACTTTCTGAACAATTTTCTAAGTAAATGTCGTTTAAAAATTATGAGACTAAAACACATTAATTAATTGTCTCCGTTCGTAGATAACTGACAGCTTCGACGAGCGTTGTCGTTAGAGTTTACAACGTACGAATTCTCGATAGATAGATCACGTGGATCCGAAACTCTTCCCCGATTTCCCGTTTTACGATCACACTTTGGCATAGTTTTCGCTGTACGTATACCTGCTAATTAACGCGAGAGGTTAATGATCAGACGTGCAGAGTCTTCGCGTGATGTCGCGTCGCGTCGCGTGCTCGGGGGAAAGAAATCTTGCCTCGATGTGAATAATACATTAAGACGACGCGGGTTTATCATGCCAACCCGGGTGTTTACAACGGGCTGTAATTTGAAAAAAGAAACCCATTACACGTCGTCGAGGCTGTGTAACAGCTATGCGAACTCGACTTGGTCGCGTTCTTTTCTCTTCTCCGGTCTGGACAAGAAATTAACAGATACGAGTAGGTCACGGCACGTTTTGACACATCCTATTTTAATAGAAAGTAATAATTATTTAACCCTTATAAAGCTGTTTATGTTTCCATGTATTAATTTTTTGTATAATAACATGTTCATATAAACACTGCTTAAGGGGCAAGTTGATACATTTTCTATGGGGCACATCGATACTGTGTATTTTATAGTATTACTAACAAAAGAATATCCTCGGTGATTCTCATCGATTCACCTGTAAAAGAAGGATTCGAGAAAAGAGGAAAATAGAAAGAATCAGTCTAATAGAAACTAAAGACGATTCCTTATTTTTGTTGTGCAAACTGAATTTATCGTTAATAGTTGCGATCTTTGTTTTCCTTTTTGTTCTTTTCTGCGATTGGATCCAGACCCAAAGGGACTGTAGACCTCGGTATGACCCTTATGGCTATTGGGAATATTGGATTCTTCTATATTGCACCACAAAACGTATGGCGTTCATACGTCTGATTCCATACGCGTTGGTTGACGCGTATCGAGAATTGGTTATTTTATGTTCGCGATTTCGATTCGCATTCAAATGTCATTTTGAGATCCTTCCGATCGATGGGTGAAATTTAAACGTCCAAACAGACGCGTTCGATTCTTTTTTGTCCCATAAGTGGCTCTACGATGTACGACTCAACGTTACACGATTTAATTTTCCGAATAGTTCTCTACGAGGCTCGAACGGCAAGGGCCACTCTGCCAACGATGAAGTTACTAAACAACAGAAAGGATTAAACTAGTAAATTGAATTTTTTACTGTAGGTCGTATTTCGGAATCGTAAGCACCTTCTGAGTAATTGGTTAAAGTGTGCAAAAGAATATGTAACATACGATGAATCCTCAGCTCGACTTTAATTAATTATTACAATTTTAGTCTGTAATAAACGAGCAAAGATAATTTCTGGCCTACAAAAAGATGTTTCAGCTTGACAAATGTGCTTCCGCAAATGGTTGCAGATTATAATCGCGTATAAAATACGAGAATTTTAGCTAGTTTTTAAAAATAAAAAGTAGTTACAGTGCTTACTTTTTTTCAAAGAATATTTTATTTCGGTAAAGTAACAAAATAAATAACTAGGAATTAAATATAATGGAGTTGTACCTTACTCTTTAAATGGAAAGCTTTTGTATTTACACAGAGACGGTTATTTTGTGCTTTCTCTGATGTTCATAAACCTAAAGTTGGAAGAAAAAGGCGTTAAAGGATTTGGAAGGATTAGGTATTCGCTCGTCCATATCCCCCCATTCCGTCACCAAAGAAAAACTTATCGCGCGCGAGATTCTTCGAGGGATATATGGATCTTACGAAGGTCTCAATATAAGTCATAACGAGAGAGTTATTCGCTACTGATTCGAAAACTTTCGCCAAATTTACGAAAAGAAGTTTGTACCTGTTCAAACTTTTTCCGTTACTACCGACTCGCAAACTGGACAGTCACCTATTTATATTTGAAGCTTAAAAAAAAGAATAGAATCAAAGCTATTTGTTTATTAGCCGCGAACAAGACCTGTCGTATAAAAATGTTGTCCCGTTTTCTGTAAGTTCGTGCAAGTCGGACGATAATTGGAAATACGATTCTTATTTTCTAACACCTGCACACGGACTCTTTTGTAGTTCGAGAATCCTACGGGCGCGCGATAAAGACGTCTGGAATACTAGAGCTCCCTTTGGGTGCTTCTCCGGTTGAAAGGGATATGACTTTAGAAACAGGGCTCCGGTACAATCTCAGTTCCCCCGTGAATTACTATACCGTTTCCATCTCCCTCTCGTTTTCTATCCAACTTGATTCAAAGTTTTCAACGTTCAGGAAACGGTCGTTTCTAATTCCTGTGTTCGCTATAACCTGCAAGCGTTTCCGGAAGCGTGAGCGCCGGCAGTAGTTAATTCGATTTCTTTCGAATTTCAATCGCACTGATCGCCGACAATCGAGAACCCGTCGAAAGTTTCGAGAGCGCGGCGCGATCGATTTCCCGTTGGGCCGTTGCGCGGGAAACGCTCCGCGAGATCGAGCACGGAATACAGGGTGAGGCGTTTAAAACCGACTAACTGAATAATTCGTTTACTTCTCATAGATAGAGAAAAAAAAATACGCTCGAATTTCAAGGGGGATCCAACGCGTCGGCATTTTTTGTTTTTGTCGAAGCAGGTGTGAATCTCATTTAAAAAAAAAAAGGTAGTAAGACGTACGAAGATCAATTTCATTTTTCAATACGTTTTCCTAAAATAATAAATTTTATTATCAATTGTCCGGAATACAGCCCTCTTGAAGACATACACGATTGGTCTGGCAGGAGTTCTTGAAACGTCTTTGATATGCCTCCTTTGAGATAACATAAAAAGTAACGGTTTTGTTGCCTTCCGAAGATCCGATATCCCAATGTAGAAAATAAAAAGCAGCTGTAAAATATCAAATCTGTTTATTGTCTCGTCAAAAAGGGCTGTCACTTGTAGCATCGCGGTGAACGACCCCTGCATTTTAACTGAATCAAAGTAGTCATAGTTATAAATAAATTTTCTCATATATCATCTGTCGATATTGAAAATTCTTGCATCTACTTGACCCCCTTTTGATTTAGTATTCGATCTCTTGCACTCTTGGGAGAAGGATATAAAAGAATCAACGTGGAAAGCATGAAAAAGTACATTTTTTTATTAAATAAAAGAAAATTGTCCTTTGTATCGTGTATTAATTAGGTTCGAAGCAGTTTATTTCGATGAATAAAACTACAAACGACATTAGAACTAAATTAGAAGATAATTTAATTTCTTTTTCCTTTAAGGCCGTTTATTTTAGCTCCTCCAACTTCCTCTTTCCAATCTTCTCAGAATTTTCAAGAGTTACATAAACAACCTGTTTCTATTTCCATCGCTCGGATGATATTTTAATTTACTTAAACAAGAAATATGTCAATCATACTTTCGATATTTTTAATACTAGATACGGCAGATAAAAATTCACATCGGAGATGGAATGTAATTATCAAATTAGTCTTCTTGGCGTTCGTATTGTTAGAGAATTGGATTCAATTTGTATCGATTGAAACTATAAACCAACACGGTTTGACGAACATTTAAATTGTAGTAATAGATCATCTGTTTCTTTATTAACCAAAAACGATAGGTTTTCTTCGACATATATTTATTTCAAAAATAATGTTTGTCGAAGGAATCCTTTAGCAAATAATATTATTCGGGCACCTATTGTTCGAATAAAATTTTGCCCAGCTCTGTGCATGGTCGGGTGATCGGTTTTAAACGCCTCCTCCTGTACGGCCAATTGTTCCATCACCGACAATGGCGCCCGTTGACGGCTTGCTTTAACAAAATTATCGCGATATCCCTTGCTGTAAATTGAATTAACTCGGGCTCGATAATGTTACGCATCGGGTCGACGCGCCATCGTAAAATTCGCCCGGATCCTTGGATCGATCGGTGAAAAGTACATCCTGTGGAAACTCATACATAACTCACGAACGCGAAGATTAATACCGTAGCGCAGTTCTGTTTGATGTGCGTGGCTGTTGCCGCGCGTGTTTCCACGATTCCGATGGGATTCGATACGTAGGGATTGCACGGAACATTTTTCGCCTATCCTTTACGTCGAGGATCGTAAAGAAGTGACTTTGTTTAATGTTCCGCTGCTATTCACAAACGTGAATTTAAACCAACTTTATGTCGCGACGCGACTTCGAGCCCACGCCTTCGAATCGTTATAATTTTGAAATTTTTAAATGTTTACTTATCAGTGAATTTTGTCGGGTTAAAGGAAAAAAACACG